TGTCATTTTTCCTTACTGGATGTGCTATTCAAAATTAAACGATTCAAAATTAAACGATTCAAAATTAAACGATTCAAAATTAAACGATTCAAAATTAAACGATTCAAAATTAAACTATTCAAAATTACTATTCAAAATTACACTTTTGAAATTTCAGTTCTTGGTTTTAACCTTCCCATAAGCAGAGAACTATTCGTAATTTCGCATTCAGTCCCTCACCTTACCCCCGAAGAGACAGACTTCGGACTGCAATTCTATTTAAATCTCCATTTCAGCTTTTTATATTTCTGGACCTTTTCTTTGTTTAATGCCTCAAAGACAGGGGTCCAGATCCAGGTGGAGAAAAAGATCCAGATGGAGAAAAGGAAGAAATAAGCGATAATGTGTTTTGTTTTTCTGCATGTTACAAAACTGCCCCAAAGCTTGTTTTCAATAATATGGCATTCTAAAAGAAAAGGCTAATGCTACTTGGGTGACTCCATTCATTCCAGATGAACCAGGGGCGAGGTGGATTGCTGAACATATTTCTGCCCCATTTTTTGCATCCATGGGTTGTTTGTAAATCCTTTTCTGCCGACAGGATGTGAACAATGTTAAATGCGTTATGCTCAAAAGTCACAGGTCTCCAACATCGTCCCTCGTATGTCGTGGTCAGTATCTTCCCTGACAATGTCATTTTCTGTTTCACAGCATATGAATGGCGTGCAAGGAACATTATGTACAGTATATTCTTGTTAGGCAATAAAGTACTGTATAACTATGTAGTATTATTACAGCCTTGAGGTATTTTTGAAGCATGGGATTGAGCTCTAATAGCCTAGTCTGTTTGATGACTTCAGGAGTGCAGTTTTTGGTGACTTCTTACCTATAGCGTGCAATTTTTCCCCTCCTTTAAACAGGCAGCACTGATCACTTGGGCCCAAGTGATTTGGTCTGTCAAACATTCAGAAATCATGAAGATGTAGTTCTCAAAATAGCGAGGGTCATGCTTTCTAAAGTTTAATGCAACCTATTCATATCAGTGTTAACTGGTTATTCATTTTTTAGAAGCTGAATATTTAAAATGACCAAAGCTTTCTGTTAATTTACAAAGTAAAAGGAAGAACACTATGTTTTTTTCTATTATTGCTATGCTAGCATAGTTTTAAAAAAAACAACAGAGAAAACGGACTATAATTGAGAAGTGGATTAATATGTAACCATAATGAAATTGTTTTAAATTGCAAACTTTGCCACTGCAACACGTTTGCTCAAAAGTTAGGTTTCACTGTGTTAAATGAGACTTACCTCTGAGTGAAGAATTTTGGGTTTGTGCTGTTAATTGCCTCTTCTGGATATGTTTTAAAAATATGCTTGTGATTATTTCATTGATATACACCCTCCTCTCCAAGCAACAGTGTCTATCACATAAGGAAATGTTGTGTGTTAAACTTGAAATGTACAAAATACCTGGTGTAGTTACTAAATATTTCGTTTCCCCCAACCATTGTTTCTTCGGAATATGTTGCTATTTTATCTTTCACATTAGCAGATTAATCAGGATTGGATAATATTCAGGAAATGAATATTGGTTGAAAAGTATTGTTATCTCAAGCACTTTAGCATACATATCACAGACTGAAGCGGGTTTGTTTTTCTCCAGAGTTTGGATTAAAACGAAATGCAGCTTTTCATGCAATGGTCTTTACAAATAAAACTGTGAGAATAGCAAAGTGTGTCCTGTGCGATTTGTTACCCTAAACAAAAAAGAAACCAGAAAAAATAATCGACATATTTGCTGGGAATTCTGAAATATTTATATCAACTTATACATAAGATTTATAAATCACCTTGGCAATGCACAAGATCAAGCCCGGTAAAAAATACACCCTAATATGTAAACATCTGGTGAGATTAGAGAAAGACTGTCTAGAAAACCTGTTTTGGATTATTTGCTGTTGATCTGATGAAGAGGTATTAAAAGTCATGCAACATATGTACAATTCATTTGAACAGCCAATACAGTGATAATACAGGAATTACTGATGACATGTTAACTTTGGAAGAATTAAATAATGGATAGCAAAGTTATTAAAGGCTTGAAATGTACTGCAGGAAATCAGAATGTTTAAAACCCTTAGCTTCAATCTTTCTAATGAAAGACTTTAACATAGCTAGTTTCCACATTATATTAAGCTGTTTTTAACTGGTTTCTTAAAACTAACCCCACAGGGCTTCAGCAGACATAAAATGGATGGATTTGCAACTCGTGACCGGCCACAACCCAACATATTATTTATGAACCAAGCCATTTTTGTGTTAATCTAGTTTTACCATTTGCCATTTATATTACAATGTCTGAAGGCTGTTTTCTGCTTTCATTTTTCCAAATTTATCCTGTTGCCAAGTTTTAGTTGCTGATGGCTTGCTTGCCCATTTGTATCCATTTGCCCATAAACACAGAAGAGCTTTGAATGAGCTCATATTTCAAAGCTGACATGTGACTGATGGGTGTTTTGTAGAGATGATGCTCTCATAAAATAGGTAAGGTGATATTCTGCAGGAATGACCGGTCAAATGCTTAGAAGACATCTGCCATTATATGATGAGACAATGGAGAGCAAGCACATTGTCAGGATTTTATTCAGTTATATTTTAAACCTAACTTTAATATTACTCTCACAATTAAGTTAGCTTCCTTTTTGGGAAGAATCTAATTTATTTTCCCAATTTAGCCAATTTACTTCTTGAATTCCCAGGTGGCATTCAAGTTCTAAAGGTAAAGGTTCCCCTTGCATAGATGTGCTATCATTCCCGACTCTGGGGGGTGGGTGAGTGCTCATCTCCATTTCAAAGCCAAAGAACCAGCGCTGTCCGCAGATGTCTGGTCATGTGCCTGGCATGACTAAATGCCAAAGGCGCAGAGCGCTGTTACCTTCCCATCAAAGGTGGTTCCTATTTTTTCTACATGCATTTTTTACGTGCTTTCGAACTGCTAGGTTGGGAGAAGCTGGGACAAGAAACAGGAGCTCACTCCGTTATGCAGCGCTAGCGATTTGAACCGCTAACTGCCCGCCTTTCTGATTCACAAGCTCAGCTTCTTAGTCACCACGTCCCACTTATTCAAGTTCTAACCAGGCGCAAATTTTGCTGTTTCAAAGATTAGTCTACCTTGGTCAAATGCTAAAATCCTGTGTGCATGCACACACAGTCTCTAAAACAGTTGGAAACAAGCTTTTTGCAGAATTTAAGTTGTACCCATTTCATACAGTAAGCCCAATCAGAGTTCTCCAGAATTGATTCAGTGCCTCCCTAGTTGTATGCATGTTTTAAGAAGTCATCCACCTCCTTAAAATCCTCTTGACCCCAAAGCTTTCACTCTGAAAGGAATCCAGAATTTGATCCACCCATTACAATGATACAAAGAAGCAAACTTAGTATTATGTTTTAGCCTGTGCATTTAACCATGTGTTAAGTAAACCATGGCTTAATGCTTTTATGTCATTTTTGTTAAAATTTAAGATACAAACTAATGTAAAGAAAGAAAGCAAAAAGTAGAAGGGAAACAAAGATGAAAGATAAAGAAGATACAAAAAGTGGCTTCTGATATTCCGCACAGCAGTTATAAGTACCGTATTTTTCGGAGTATAAAACGCACCTTTTTCCTTCAAAAAAAAAAAAGGCTGAAAATCTGGGTGCGTCTTATACACTGAATACAGCATTTTTGGCCTCCCGAAACCCTTCCCCCTTTACCAAAATGGCTGTGCAGAGTCTCTAGAAAGCTTTCAGAGTGCTTCTGGAGGCTGGGGAGGGCAGAAATGAGNATCACTTTTTGTGATCTTCTGACAAGCAAAGTCAATGGGGAAGCCAGATTCACTTAACAACTGGTTTACTAACATCAACTGCAGTCATTCACTTAACAACTGCGGCAAGAAAGATTGTAAAGTGAGGCAACATTCATTTAATAAATGTCTCACCTAACAACAGAAATTTTGGGTTCAATTGCAGTTGTAAGTCGAGACTACCTGTACGCTGTTTTGTGCCACCTACTTTTACCAAAAAAAGTTGTTGTTTGAATGGCTTGTGAAAATCCATAGTTTATCTCAAGGACCTACTTAATCTCTCTTAAAAATTTTGAGTTGTGTGAAAGCTCAGAAGGAAGTGCCACTGAGTTCAGTGGAAACTATACTTTGTGCCTTCAATTCATTCCTAAATAAATACGTTGAGTACCATATTTTTCGGAGTATTAGACGCACTTTCTCCCCCCCCCCACAAAAAAAGAGGGTGAAAATTTGGGTGTGTCTTATACACCGAATGTAGCCCCACCCACCTGTGGGCCTCCACCCTTTGGCCTCTGCCTCCTAGCAGCAAACAGCTCATTTCAATTTCATCTTCAGCGCAGCCTGATTAGCACAAGCAGCTGATTGTCAGTTGGATTGGCCTCCTGATGATCAGCTGTTTTAGCCTACAGGGATTGCCATTGCCTATTGCTGCCTCCGTGCACCCCATTTCAGCCTCCAGATCCCATTTTTGTCCTCTGCACCTCTACATGCCCCATTTTCCACCCATTCTGATCCCCACCATCCGGAACAGGTGGAAAATGGGGCTTACAGAGGCGGCAATAGGCTATGGTAATTCCTGCAGTCTGAAACAGCTGATCATCAGGAGGCCGATCCAACCGACAATCAGCTGCTTGTGCTAATCAGGCTGTGCTGAAATTGAAACAGGCAGTTTGCTGTTGCTGCAAGGAGGCAAATTGCTGGGAGGCAGAGGCAGATTTTTTTTCATTTTTTCTTCCACAAAAGCTAGGTGCATCTTATACTTCAGAGCGTCTTATACTCTGAAAAATATGGTAACTGAAAAAAATTCAGAAAGGCAAGGATCCTGAAAAGCAAGAGGCAGAGACACCATTGGAACACTATTTTTTAATCCAGTGACTTTCTCAGAGAAAATAGCAAATTCACTGACTAAGATATTGTTCTGTGTTTGGTGACTTCATTCTCTCTTTTCTCCACGTTCAGAAAAAGCTGTAGCCTATTTTGAGATGACTGACCAGATTGAAGACAATGAAGACAATGTCCTCCTTCAAAAATCCTCCCGCAAAACCTTTTGCCACTACGTCAGTGCCATCAGTACTGCTCCGCGAAACATAGGGAAGGATGGCAAATTCCAAATTCTAATTTGCTTTGGAACTCGGTATGTAGAAATTTAAACAGGAAGAATTTTTAAATTAAATGCATCAATGTTGAACGACGGAAGCCAAGATTCTCAGCCTTGGGAACCGACTGAAATTATTATCTATTCGTGATCTTTTCATCATTGCTTCTAGAAATTGTAAATGCTCCAACCCTAGAAGTTTTTAAGAAGAGATTGGACAACCATTTGTCTGAAATTGATATAGGGTTTCCTGCCTGAACACAGGGTTGGACTAGTAGACCTCTAAGATCCCTTCCAACTCTGTTCTGTTACCTCTTAATTCATTTACTCATAGAGTGTTATAATGGTGAGAAGTTGGAGGAGGGTGTGCTACCAAGCCCCCTTGTATTCCTTGAAGAAAAGCAGGTTGTGAATCTTTTAAAGAAATATAAGATTTTCTTAGTATAAGCCAATGTCACAATTGTGATAAGTAGCAACTTGTGTAGGACTTCTATAACCCTAATCCTTTTGTTAAAAGAAATGTCATTTACTATGTTTCCTTAAAGGTTGTCAGAAATTGTTGTTTTTAAATATAAAATCAGTAACATTTTATTGTCTTAAGGTATCTAGGTCAACAATGGGGGACCTTTTTTTGCTCACGTGCCATAAGTGGGGGGAGCGCAGGGGGGTTGTGTGCGGGAGTGCTGCACCCATAATGCAATGCATGACACCCCCCAGTGCGCATGCGCGCATGAGAGCCCCCCCCCCATTTTTTGCATGCTTTTTTCACCCTCCTGAGGCTCCAGAGGCTGTATAGGAGCCTGGGGAGAGCGAAAACAGCCTCCCCCGCCCCTCTTGAGGCTTCAGGGACCTTCAGGAGACTTCCCTGAAGCCTCCAAAGGGCAAAAAACGCCCCTACAAGCAAACCGGAAGTCACTTCAGCTGGTCCAGAATGCGACCGCGCGAGCGATCGTGGGTGCACCTCGATTCGCCCACGTAACACCTATCCCCCGCGAGCTGCACTGGCTGCCTGTTGATCTCCGAGTGCGCTTCAAGGTGCTACTTGTCACTTACAAAGCTCTC